TTTTCACCTCAGTTTTATTTCTTCTACCTGTCTACGAGAGATGTTAAACCAATTCTGGGACACCCTGTATATATATATAATCTTTATACATAATATATATAAAATTATGTTTACATTTGACTATTAAATCGACAATAATTATATAAATAGTAAAATAACATCTATGTGAAATATTTTAATATTTATACTTTTCACAACAATTAATTGCGTGTATAATATTTAATGTTAAATAATTTTGCAATATGTTTATATTATCAAAAAATATGACATATTATGCACGTACGATATTTATCGTTTATTAGTACATTATTGATTTTTCCTAAATAGATTGCCAAACTGCACTCTCTAAGTAGAATCAATTAAAATTTTACTAATTGATTCAATGATAAAAAAGTTTACTGGGAATCAATGATAATATTACTAATTTGAAATTTCAGTGAAAAAATGCCTCTTTTAAAGTTAGATGTCAGTAACAGATTATTTTTACTAGGAATCAGTTAAAATTTTGCTGATTTACTTAGTAACAAATAGTTTTACTTAGAATCAGTAACAATATTACTGAATGCCATTAACATATTAGTTTTAAAGTAATTGATTGTGAAAGTTTCAATGGGGGGCTACATTGATAGAGTGCCCTCTTGGTAATTAGAGGGTTTTCAGGTTCGAATCCAGTCGAGATAATTTCTAAAGCTGGGTATACACATAGGGAACGAATGCCGAACGAACAGCGAGCGCGAACGTTCGGACATTCGCGTCAACAATAGCGAACAGCGAACAGCAGCGAACAGCACGTATGCGCGCCCATATCGCGCACGAATTTTCTTTGATATACCGCCTCATGAGGGAACCGATCCGAATGCGAATCGAATGTTCTGTTCGCATTTGTTTTGGCGTCTACATCTGACGAATGATAATAACGAACGTTCGCGTTCGCTGTTCGTTCGACGTTTGTTCGCTATGTGTATACCCAGCTTAACACAATGGGTTTTTTCTACAAGGTAATACTAAGACAACATAGAAAATAACTAAGAAAACTTATTCGAGAACATAAATGAAGAATCTAAGTCATCTTTTTATATTATAAATGTTATTTTGCTATCAAATCGTGTTGCGCAGATTTTGCTTCATACTTTGTGTCAATTTGGTCTCAAGTTATGTTATCAAGCTTTGCTCGGTTTTTGCTAGCAATTTGCTGTTGCTTTTTGTTGACAAGCTTTGGCAACAAAATCCAAGCCTAATGCGGACATAGTTGATGCCAATTTGCTGAGTATTTTTGCCTAAAATTGCTGACAATTTGCTGGCAAATTGCAAACAAATTGTTTACTAGGATGCTATATATCAATGCTTTTCTTACATTATTAAGTTTCATACTAATTTGTATTTTAATTAATAGATTCTATAATCTAGAAAAAGAAAACTAACATTAAAAAAATTAAATATAAAGTAAAAATACAAATAAGATATTTTTTTACATTTTAATATGTTATATTAATTATATTGCATTTAAAACTACATATCAACAATTAGATTTAATATAAATATTATCTTACATTTAATATATTTTTTAACTTAACATTTACTCTAAATATACTTACTTTTCTTCATATTTTTATTTAACTTACTATTATTTGATTTTTCGCTAGTTCGTACTTCAGCTATTCGGTCCACCTCAGTACGATGATTTAACACGAATAAAAAATATATATGTAGTACATAATACTATTACACTATTAAAATATATATCTCTCTCTATATTGTATACCTACTTAAATATACCTACCTAATAGTTATTATACCCATTCTCCTCTTATCTTTTTTTAACTTTTTCTTGCTAATTCATACCTCAGCTACTCAGTCCACCTCAGTACGAATTAGCAAGAGAAAGAAAAAAAAGATAACAAAAACTGAACTTCATATCTTTGTAGTTACTTTATGTTGTACTCTATTTCTCTATTATCCCACTGATATGAAGTGTGGGAGTATCTGAATAAAAAAAAATAGTTTGTTAGTACAATAAATAAGCTATTATAACATTCTTATTTTTATTTTATAAATAAAATAAATATAAAACAGATATATAGATATAATATACATATTTGTATATTATATTTATATATCTGTTTTATATTTATTTTATGTATATACGCGTGTACAAATTAATAATCTAATATAAAAACATGCATATACACACACATGCAAGAAAAAAAATCTTTTACAAGTGTAAAATATTCCAAAGCTTTCTCTTATTTTTTCCAATCCCTTTCCATGCTTTATTATGTTGCAGCAATGTATAATAAATACGCATGCGAAGGTATAATTTTGAGAAACTGTACAGGAAAATCGGGACATGGANGTTCAAAAGTGATATTCTGTGCTAAAGAAAATAAATATCTACCGATATCTTTTTTATAACAATTGTTTTCAAAATTTTTAACAAATATTTCTTCTAATTGATGTATATAGGAACAAAAATTATTGCTTGGAATATGCAAAGCTTCAAATAGTTCTCCATTTTTTGACTCGTAATTTTCGTTGCGGAAAGAACAATATAATGTTGTATCATAATTTATTATCATTTTCAATTGTATAATTTGTACATGTTTCACATGAATGCAATATTTTACATTTTTTAATTAAATAACCGCAAACATATTGAAATGTATTTTGTTCTGACAGGTTCATTGAACGATAATCATGTGTTGGAATATCTAAAATTACACGCGTAGATGGTTTATTAAGTTCGACAACTACGGAGTGAACATTGGTTGATTCCATAAGATTTAATATTTTATCTGAATCAAAAGCACAATTTGTAGAATCTAACTGCTGTAATAATTTAGTACTAAATAATTTTTTAAAAGCGCGCACAAACTGTATTGGAGTCGGATTTACAGAATTACCTCCTTGTTGCCGAATAGAACCAATAAATAAAAATTGAAATAAATTTTCAAGACAATACTGATTTATTCTACGTGTTTGTCAATATAGAAAATTGTAAATCTTTAATTTTTCCCACAATTGTATAATATTATTTATAGTAACCTGCCAGTACTTAAAACATTTAACTTTAATAATTTCACCTGTAGTGTTAGTAACATTAATATTTTGTATAAATTGGGACATTTCTTCTAAAATTTTTAACTGTTTAATACTTCCATTAAAAATTTTATCATACTCTTTAGGATTAACTTCAGATGAGGAATTTAAAATGTCAAATAATTTATCAAAACGCTCTATAAATTCAATTGTACCAAATGCTTCTGATGGAAGATTACCTAAAGACATTTGCGTACACATACCTGCAGCTACGTGATTACGAAGTACTTGTACTGCATATTTGACTTTTATTTTTGTAAAATTGTTAGGATCTATGTGACACGGAGATAATTTAGGAGCTGCTTTAATATATTGTTCTTTATCTTTTGAATAAAACTGTCTAATGTAGGACTACAATGCAAACTTATTATTAAAGTTTAAAGTATATTTGTACAAATTATTACGCGTAGCTTTAATTAAATGCGGAGTATCAAAAATATACAATATATTCTGTTGATCAACTACAAATACCGAATTTTTTGTCGAAATACCTAATTCGCGAGATAGTTTTAAGAAATTGGAACCCATATCCGTAACAAATGCATGCACAGTAGCACCGCTAATTTTTAACTTAATTATACAAGTAAACAAAATTTGTTTTAAAATATTACTAGCACAAGTAGTTTCTGCAAAACAATAACAAAATGGAACTTTCCAGTTACCTGCAATATTGCGTGCCATTAAAACGACGGCACTTTTTGCAGGTATCGGAGACTTATAAATCCCTGTATCTTCAAATCCTACAATTTCATCTCGCGAAATATCATAAAAAATGGGATTTTAAGCTCATTTTATTCGCGCACAATATACAATATCGCTCGATAGACGGTACTAAATTTAATTTAATTTTAAGTGCTTCAAAAATTTTTTCATTAATACCGGACACACTGTTCCATTTTTGAGTAAATGATTGTAATGTACGCACGGAAGGTAAAGTAAATCTTATTTTTAATTCTTTATAACTTCACGGACTTAAGAAATATATAGATAAAGCAAATTTTTTGTATTCACTATCATATCGCATGCCACGTTTGTTTCTTATTTGCGCGTCTACTTGTGCTGATAATGATATATTAAATTGTTCCGGCAAGTATTTTTTTCCTAAAGCGTTTAATAATATTAATTCTTTGGTTTCTACCTTTGTTTGCTCTTTGGATGTTTCTTTTTTTGATAAGATTTTGTTTCCTCTTCTTTGAAGTCATCGAACTTTTTGCTGTAATAATTTTATTTTTGCTTTCAAGAGTTTATTACTTCTATGTAATTCTTCTTTTGTAGGACTCTTTTTCTTCTTTGGCATCGCTATACTGGATGTGCTTCTAAAAAAGATAAAATATATATAAGATAAAATATATAGAATCCATTAAGTTGATTAAACAGTTAAAACAAAATTTAAAAAAACAAAGTTACATTTAGAAATATAATATACATATACCATTATAAATTCTATACTTTTTTCCACTATTATCTGTATTTTTATAAATTAAAAAAAATATGTAAAAAATATAATAAGTAACTTACAATTGAGTTATTTGTATGTCAGTATCCGTGTCGTTTAACAGCATTTGCGCCGATTGTAAATTTCTAAAACATATATAATTCTTCTATAAAATCATATAATAATATAAAATATTTAGATATAATACATACTCATGTGGTTTTTCTCTTGTCGTGTCCATATTTTTTTTCTTTTCTATGTTGTCTTCTACTTCTATATTTTCTATTTTGTCTACTTCTATACTTTCTCTTACTTCATTAATATCCATTTGTTCGTGTATGTTTTTCTGAAATGTTTTACTTTCTTCTTCCTTTTTTCTGCATCTATTTGTCTGCAAAAAATTGCAATTATATATATATNGAATTACAATGTCTACTACTAAATACATTAAAAACTATTTCGCACGTACAGTGTTAACTCTTACTTTGAATTTACAATTTTTCTTACGATTGAATATCAAACTAAACATTAATAAATCGATATAAAGTTATATGTATTTGTTATAATTCTACTGTTCTTACATATTCTGTTATTATTAGTATACTACTGTAATAAACTTTATGTTTATCTTTCTAACATACATTGCGAGATTTATTTAAATGCTTCGATTCATGACGCTGTTCTCGATGACAAAAATGAACAAATTCTTTGGAAGGTTCACATATATCACATCTATAATTGTTTACGTCGTACATTTATGACTATCTCGATGAATATTATATTCGTGCTGTGTATAAAAATGTTTATCACATATCTGAAAAATAAAACAATACAAATTACAAACACGCTATAAAATATTTTGATAATTGTTTTTATTTTTCATATTTGAAGAAGATATATATATATACACGTGATCTTTTATATATATATAAAACTACGTGTTTATGTCTTTAATAAATATATTTGTAAAAAAGACATACGTCATACACTTACCCAGCAGGTATAAAAGGAATGACTACAAAACTGACATATAATGCGATGAATCCGCAAATCATTAAAGGAAGGAAAAGTGTTTGCACATATGTTACATGGATATATGTTCGACATCATACATTTATGAACATTTTCATGATCTGTTAATTCTCGAAATGTATGAAAGTGGTTCCTACATATCTTTAAAATAGAACAGTATAGATTACTAACATGCTACATATTATTTTGATAATTGTTTTTGTACATATTTTCAAAACACTTGCCACGCAATAGTACATATCATTTAAATGAATTGATGAATGTTTCTTTAGATTGCCAAGATATCCAGTTGTGAAATCACATTTAGTACATAGGAATGTATTATTGTGTTTATGAGAACTATGATAATGCGCCGATAACATCGATTTATCTTGGAACACGGCATCACAAACCTAAAAAGGAATTATATACATACCTGTGATCTTAAGAATTACTGTATATTTCGTTTATAAATATTTTTGTAGAGAAAACATCGTACTTTGCATTGATATTGTTGTTCAGCACTTGTAGAAGCTTCACTCGTCACGCCAGTACTTGTAGATGCCATTGTATTTCTGCTTTATATTACGATGATAAAAAACACAAAGTGTCGTTACAGTATAACCGATTTAATGTCTGTTGCACTTTTTTTAATATTATCTTGTTAATTTTGATAGAAAATTTTGTACTGAGAGAGAAGAAATCGATGTGTGAAGCTATGTAAAGTCAAACAGCAACTGAGAAGTCGAATTTGACATTGATGTGAAAGCAAAGTGAAACGTCAACAAAAGACGTAGTTGTGCGATCTTATTTATATTTTCAAATAATTCGTATACATGATAACGACCATATAACCAGTTTGATGCAATTTAATCAAGTTTTGAAAATTTATCCAAATATATCACGTAATATCATTGTAAGTGTTTTTTGTAATGTTTTCAAGAATGGCGGAATTGGTTTACAATATATCATTAAAATTATAACCTCACTTATAAGTTTGCTACAATAGTTTATTTTAATAATATTTTACATAATAATAGAAAGTATACAATATGTTACAATTATTTTTATATATATATGGTATATACATAATTTATGTACAAAGTAAATATACATGTATGGTTTCGTATAATCGGCATTGTTTGTGCAAAAATAAGGTAATATTTTGTAATAAAATACTTTTGGTGTACGACATGTAGTCGTGTTCTATTCTTACAATATTTTTATATTACATATAATAGTTATGTACATTATTATATATTTCAGTATATAAATATGTACTATGTACTATGTACTAACATGATAAAAACATTTGTAAAAATTTTGAATTTGTAGTGAATATATATAATATGTTAAATATTGTTTATGTATAAACTTCAAGAATATACATGTAATACGCGTTTAAATGTACTTATATTTGTATATTTATATACGTATATTTGTATATATTTA